TGAAAGGATAAACTAAACGTGTTATATACATACAGTGGAATATGATTCAACCTTAAAAGGAAGGAAATCCTGTCTCTTGCTACAACATGGGTGAACCTTGAGGACATTATGCTAAGTGAAATAAGCCAATGACAAAAAGAGAAAGACTGTATGATTCTACTTATATGAGGTGTCTAGAGTAGTCCAGTTCACAGAAACACAGAATGGTGGTCAACAGTGTTAGAAGTAGGAAGAGGGGGAAAAGAGTTGTTAATGGGTCTAGAGTTACAGTTTTGTACGATGAAAAGTTTTGGAAATCTGTTTCACAACAGTGTGAATATGTTTCACACTACTAAACTGTGCATTGAAAATGGTTAACATGGTAAATTTTATGTTATATTCTTTTACCACTATAAAAAGTTACAGACCAGTATCTCTTATGAATATAGATGTAAAAATTCTCAAAAGTACTAGTTAATCAAATCCAACAGCATATTAAAAGGATTATCTATCATGACCAAGTGAGATTTATCGCAGGAATTCAAGGGTAGTTCAATATAACAAAATTAAGATACTGCCTTAGTGGAACAAAGGAGAAAAACACAAACATTTCATTTAAATTATGCAGAAAAGGCATTTGGAAAAATCCAACACTCCTTCATGATAAAAACCACTCAGTTATTTAAGTTCCCTCTTTTATTCTTGGTATTCTAGATAATGTGGCAGGGAGCACTTCTGATAACCCTTCATCTAATGGATTCCTCATTGAGGATAGATTATGAATGGGAGAAGGTCTCTGGAACACTATTGTTTATCCTTGACTGTTGATTTGCACCATGCCTCCTAACTTTCCTTATCTTTTGCCACTGCCTTGCTTATTGTTCTTTTCCAGTCAGTGGCCTGTGGGTTGGTCACTGGGCCTAAAGCTCATAAATACACACCACTCTGCACACACATAAATGCACACACTCACTGGAAATGTGACCCTAGCCCTAGATGACCATCCAGTGTTGCAATGATGCTGCTGTTCTAGGTATTTTGTTTAAGACCCAAGATGAGCCTGAGAATTTGGATCATTTGAGGAAATTCTTAATGACCTAAATATTTCTACCAATGGTGTTCATCATTGAATACTTTGATGTCTGGCACATAGTGCTTTTTGAAAATTATTTTTCATTCAATAAATGAAGGCAGCTCTGGGGAACTGGTTCAGAGGGACAGAAAAAGAATCTTTGTATTAGTTTTGTTTAGTATGGAATTTGGAACTGAAGAAGAATTTGATGAATATCATTTTAAACTTCAGAAATATCAAACCTTTCTGAAACACTCTTCAAGAGGCTTACTAAAATGCAAAAGATACTAATTGACACTTCTGAAAGAGTCCATGTCCTTGGCCAGTAGATGGCAGACTTATACTGTAGTTTGAGAAAGCAAATAGCAGTAGAAGGTAAAGAAAAGTAGTTTGAAGTGTTCTTGTACCCCTTCCTCCCTTCCCTGTCCCCACAAACCTGTTCCTCCCACTTCATCCTACTGCAGGCAACTGCCTTACCCACCCATTAATCTCTCTTTAGGTGCCACGGGATTTCTTGCTGCCAGTCTCTCTAGCTCACAGGAAAATATCTTTTGTACTTACTAATAATGTACTTACAGGAATACACCAGCTATATAATTTTCAAGGTCCAGCATAAAATGAAAATGTAGGACTTCTCCAAAATTATTTTGAATTTTAAGAAAGTAACAGCAAAACATGAAACTAAGCACAGGGCCCTTCTGAGCCCACGCATGTCATGTACCTATGAAACCAACCATACTTTGTAACTGAAATGATTTTTCCCTCTTCCTACCCCATCTTTTGTCTTTCCAATGTCCTCTCCCCAGTGATACACACCAAAAGGGCTGCTTAAGAAAGGAAGAATAGCTGAGTGTTATTCCGACATAGAATCTGAGCACTGGAGGAATTTAGAAATCTAGTTGAATCCCCTCATTTTAAAAATGGTTTAACTACATTCCAGAGAGATGAAGTGACTCTCCCTAAGTCTCCAGCTAATTATGCCACAGGCTGGACTGGAACTAAGCATTCTCATCTACCAGGCCAAAACATGGCTCTATCACAGGGACTCCATGAGAGAGATCTTGAGGAAAAACTTTTTGTGTCTATTCAAGACATATGCTCCACTCTCTCTATGAGAACAGGGCACATGTTTGTGTTACTTACATTTATATGGTACCAGTTCAGCAAATGCTGGGCACCGTGCTAGATGTTTTACCTATAATACCTCGGTTAACAACAATCTCAGAAAACCATTACTGTTATTCCCACTTTTCAAGTAAGAAGAATTCAGGATCGGAACTTGAATTTTACGAAGTGGAAAGGTAAGAGTTTAAGCAAATCCGTGATTACAAAACCCATTCTCTTTTTAGCACATCATTCTTGAATTTTAGAGAGACTGAGTCAACCCATATTTACTGAACATTGGTCTTGTTTTTGGTCAGCTCTGGATGCTCTTGGGAACTCTTTACCGGATGTCCCTGTTCTTCTGTTAATAACTTACTGGGCTAGCTTCCGCCTTAGGACCTTTGCTCCAGGGTGTTTCCGCTGCTTTGAACACTCTTCTTCCAGATACTCCGATGAAAAACAGGACTCCCTGTCACGTAGGTAATGGGGGATCTGATGATACCATGTAAGGTCTCTCAGGCCATTGTAAAGACATTGTCTTTTTTATCTCTGAATGAAATGAGAGCCATCGCAGCATTTTGTGCAGAAAAGTGACATAATCTGACTTAGATTTTTAATGGGTTCTTCTGGTTGCTATATTGAAAAAGAGAGTAAGGGGGCAGGGTAGAGGAGGGAGAAGTTAGGAGCCTTTTTAGGAGGTTATAGCAATCCAGGGGAAAGATAATAGTGTGGTAGCAGTGGAAGTGATGGGAAATGGTTGGATTCTGGAGTTTTATATATATGCAGATATCATATATATAGCTTTTTGTTATGGAAAATTTCAAATACATACAGAAGTAGGGGGAAGAGTATAATGGAGTCCCATGTTCCTACCTGGTACCCAGTGAACTTATGTGTTATTATGGGTCAGACACTTTAAACAGCTGCATAAATCATCAGTTTGTACCAATCTTGTTTCTTGTAGAAATCTCTTTCCACTTCCTCCCCAACCCTAGATTGGGGGAAAAGCAATTTGAAACAAAGCCCAGGTACTGTATTTCATGTGCAAATATTTCAGCTGCTTCTAACTAACTGCCCCCCCCCCCCAGGCTGCTATCTACCCTATGGCTTCTGCTTGCTCATAGTTTCATATACTCATGATTTCTACTTATTCCCTGCTCTCTTTGTCCTCTTTAAACTTGTTTCCTTCCTACCACCTACTAATTGTATTTCTTAAATTCAAACTTTCTAAAAAGAGGTTATTCTAGGTTCAGAGGGTTGCTTTGCTCCTTCCCCCACCCCTCCCCACGACAGGTTCTCCCCCTGTCACCCAGGCTAGAGGGCAATGGTGTCATCAAAGCTCACTGCAACCTCAAACTCCTGGCTGGGCTCAAGTGATCCTCCTCCTCAGCCTCCTGAGTAACTGGGACTACAGGCGCACCCCACCACACCCAGCTAAGTTTTCTCTTTTTTGTGGAGATGGAAGTCTTGTTCTTGCTCAGGTTGGTCTGGAACTCCTGGCCTCAAGCAACCTTCCCGCCTTGGCCTCCCAAAATGCTAGGATTACAGGCATGAGCCACTGCACCTGGCCTCTTCCTTCTGCATAGACCTCATAAACTGGCCAAATTGTGGTAGATTGGCTGCTTTGAGGTCAGGTACCCTTTTTTGGCCAAGCAGAATGGCATAATGAGAAGGTCAGTTTCCCCAAAGGGGTTGTTAATATGGCAGTCACTTAGCAAATAATAGGCTATTCTCCTATAGTAATAAATAGTAGAAATTTAATACTATAAAGCATAGAAATTGTGAAAAAAGTAAGTCTGCAGTGAGACTAGAAATAGATAAATGTCCAAGCAGTGAATCACCATTATTTTAAATTCTGACTTATTTGGATTTCTGTTCTTGGGTGCCACTAAGGATTAAGGGATATTTTTAAAATATATATTTGTTTATAACAGGCTGAGTAATAGCATATAATCATAATGTACCAGACTAAAAGTCAAGACCTACATTTAATTCTTCTGTTGATCATGGGCTTTGTACATTAGACAAGCTAATAAACTGGTTTGTCCCTTAATCTCTCCACCCCTCAAATGAGATTAGTACATGTCCTTTTCCTATTTCACATATGAAGACAAGTAAGATTGGAGACGTAAAAATACATTGAACTTTTATGAAAAAAAGCATGTGAAAATCTAAATAATTAGTATTTCCTATATGAAGATTTTTATGAAGTTTTAAAATCAGTGGATTTAAGATTTTATTTTTGCAAAAGTTTACACATTTTCTAATCTGTTAATTTCCTTTGTGTTCTCCAACATTTTTCTTCTTAGATTGTAATGTATCTCTCATATGTATATACCACTTATAACATTGGTATGAATTATGTAAATGTTAGCTGCTATCTACAGCAGCATGAAAAATTTGTAAACAAAAATCCATGGAGGGGCAGTTGCAAATGCTGGAAAAATTGGCCTCTCTTTACTTCCTAATACACATGCTGTAAAAATGCAGTTGCTTGAAGCTAATACATTGGTACATCATGTGATAATATGCTTAAAAAGAAACTTTTAGGGCCCTAACAAATTGGAAGTGCCTGGGTTTATGGCCGGGGTGGGAAGAGGAGGGCCACTAAAAATAACATTTTGGTATCTGATAGCACCATTGTTCTCCAAGACTGGTTAGTGTGGACAGGCTATCTCAAAATCACCAGGAAGTTTTCTAAAATTCTTATGTTAAACAGTGATGTAGTAGATCGACAGTGGAAATTAAGAATGCAAAAATTTTTTAAGTTTCTCAGGTGGTCTTGATTTTCATCCAAATCTAAGAATTACTAACAGTGTAGAAAAATATAAAACAGTCATGTAACTTAGCACATCATTTGTTTCCTGTCATCTTATTCAAAGTGGTATATGTACTGGGAAATATCTACACCCGGAAAAGAGAACTGGGAGGATATCTATCCAAATCAGAATGAATTGTAATTATCTCTGGATTGTGGGTTTATGGAAATATTTATTTTGCATTTGCTTTTCTTATTTCAAAGTTTTCTGATTGAACATATGTTACTTTTATAACAATAAATGTTACCAAGAAAATTAGTCACCACCAGTAAAGATTTTAAAGAGCCCCATATAGCCCATGGTTTTAGTTTGCCAAATGTGAAAAGAAAAAAAAGTCTATATCAATGCATATATCACATTGTTGTTTTTTTTTTTTTATTTAAAGGAAAGGCTACCTAGAAAGCAACATGGGAACAATATTAACAATATTTATTCTTGTGTTTTTAAAAATGTCACAAATTCTTTTAAACATTGATAAATGCATATCTTAGAGAATTAAAAAAAAATTAAATCCTAATTAGCTTTTACTTCTTTTGCTTTGACAATAATGGACATATACCGATGTGTGTAAAAGGATTGATCAGTCAGTAACCTTGATGGGGAGAGAAAAACAGCTCTGATACAATATAGATCTTCCGTCTAATTTGTATTTGTGCTCCAAGAATGATGCTCATTGCTTTTTAAAGATCCTCTTGGCTACTGCTCCTTCATACATGTAAGTCTGAAAGTGTTAACAAACATGAAAGAATTTACCATTAAGATTTAAGTGTAAATCAATAAAAATATTAGTATTATTATAGCTTCAAATGAGTTTATTTTTTCTTGTACTTGATAGCAACATTTTATACACATATAGGATACACCCATTAAAAACACATTTGTGTTGTAGTCATTTATGTATTCAGTTAAAATAGGCACTGATTATTTGGCATATTTGTATATAAGTTCTCTTCATTAAATAGGTATCAGAAAATATCCTGTGTTTTAAAAATATTAATAGTAAGTTTTACAAGAAAAGAAGTAGTCTATTTACTGAAGATATACTCAGCAATGTAAAAAAAGTATTATGTAATCACTTTTGCCTTTGGAAAATAGTTATAAATCTTTTTACAACGCACCTGGACTAGTTCGCCGTCTATAATTTCTCGGACAGCATTCAGTTCCTTTCCATTGTCTAGCCGTTTGAATTTTCCAACTTGTTTATTTCCCTCAAGGTTCCAGGTTCCCTACATAACAACAACAACCAGGCATTTATTAGGGTCTTGCACATGTTAGGCACGGTGCTGAATTCTGTAGATCTACTTTTTCATTTAATCTGCACAGTGACCCTATGAAGTAGATACTGTTATCTCCACTTTACAGAAGAGGAGATGCTAAAATGGCACAGTAATTCACCCAAAGTCACAGGGTCAGGATTGAACCTAGGCCATGGGGCTCTAGAGTATGTGTTGGTAACCGTTATGCTTGTCTCCCTTGATAATTTGCGTGTGTTGAATTTTAAGGCACTTGAGAGGGATTTTTTTTTCTAAATCTTTCATGTTAAGAAAAGTGTCCAGGCTGGGCATGGTGGTTCAGGCCTATAATCCTAGCACTCTAGGAGGCCGAGGCAGGAGGATCGCTTGAGCTCAGGAGTTCGAGACCAGCCTGAGCAAGAGCAAGACCCTGCCTCTACCAAAAGTAGGAAAATTAGCCATGCATGGTGGCTAATCACCAGATACCTGGGGGACTGAGTTGGGAGGATTGCTTGAGTCCAGGAGTTTGAGGTTGCACTGAGCTATGATAATGCCACTGCACTCTAGCCTGGTCAACAGAGCAAGTATGTCTCAAATAAATAAATAATGTCCAGAAATTTAGTCATAGTTCAAATTAGTTTCGTGAGGAGGCTAACAACCCATGCCTGTTTTAATTTATCTGATTGTGGTGGTAATTAAAAATGGCATAATTGATAAAATATTCAACAGTTGTCACTGCAAACATATAATTTAACTAGGAAAGTTCTGAGGCTAAAAACAGTTTTAAAAATACCAGTTGAAAATGATGACTTCCTAAAGTTTTTTATCTTAACGATGAAAAGGTACAGTCCCAATGATCTTCAATGTAGCATTAGACCTTTCCATTTGATTACTCATTCATTACTTTATTCATTCATTATTTCAATATACTTATTAAATGGCTATTTCATTGAAATTGTACAACTCTAAAAGCTTTTGTTGCCAGGTATGTAAAGTTGAGCTTTAAATGTCTCTATGAATAGGTCTATACTAAGTCATTCAAAGGATATTTTTCCAATTCTTACTGTTCAATCCAGATTCTTCACAGACGTGTATGAAAATAAAAGCGTTATTTTAAATACTCTGCCATCTAAGAAAAATCTGGTTAAAAAAAAAAAATACTCTGCCAATTTGTGCAGTATATAATTTGGACAAACCTCATTGGTTTCTTCAATAAATGAAGGCAACCTGTTGTAATTAAATCATCCAGTGATGTAAAGCAGAAATCATTTTAGTATTGAGAAGAAAAATCAAAAATGCATTACTTATAAAAAATTTCTTACACTGAGTTCAGTTCCGTCTGCGAGGCTGTAATTAAAGGTGACACCAAGTTCAAAAACAATTTCAACATCTCGCAAAATGCTTGATTCTTTGACTGTGAATTTATTTCCTTCTTGTGTAATTATCAGTTTCAAATTGTCATGAGCTGCAACCTTCCTTTTCAGTACATTAATACCTGTAAAAGGACAGATGTGGGAGTAAATAAAGTAAGAATGCCATAGCAAGTGTTTATTTTTCCAAGTTATATTTTATTTGTTTATTTTTATTTTGGAGGGGGGGACTTGATAATATTGCCTTTGCACAAGAGCATTCAGATTGCTTCTGTAGAAAAAAGTTCAGGGTCAATCAGATCAACAAAACTGATGTTTTTCTAACACCAAAGAAAAATTAAATGAAGTACAGAATTATTAAATCTTAGAGCTGAGTAGTTTCAATAAAATTAACAAACTTTTTGTTTCAGTGTTAAGTCAAATTCTAGAAATATCAAATATTAAAAGGTGCATTCATGTATTTACAAAGAAGCACAACTTTGATTCTGAATATACAGCATTTTTTTCTTAAATGTCCGTTTGCTGTCCATAATTGCTTTTATATTTTGAACTTTGTAATTCTGTTTACTTTTTGTAGCATTTCTGACTGACACAAAATGGGAAAATTAGCAAATTTTATAGCCAAATTCATTATTATAAGACTGCAAGTTCTATAAATTTAAACTCAGAATCTCTGAAGTATAGGATGTAATTGATGCAGATTTTTCCTTTGGGGGAATGACACAAATTTATTTGCCCAACTTTTACAGTATATGGGTTGCCATAGTATTGGTATAGATTTATAAATCTGTTAAATTAAAACACTCAGAGAAAATACATAGCTTCTCAAGATTATTCCCAAAGTTTTATAAGTGAGAGAAAATGAGAATTGAATCTAATGAATTCAGAGCTATAAAGGTTGATAGAACTCCTTTCCATTACTCTATTACATGGTCTTTGCTTTTCTATCCCCAATAATTTAAAGTTTTAAAACCTGGAAGTTATCATTACATGCTGCCATTTTCTTACTCCAAGCTAACAAACAAAAATGTCAATTTTCAATGACAGAGATACAGTCAACAGTTACAGAATGAAGGAAACCTATCTGGATCTTTCTTGTGTTCAGAGTAAAGCAACCAAAGAATCTTTTCTTCCACTAATGAGACAGTGGATTCTTTCTCCTGTAAGAGGTGAGAATATGATTCCCTACTCCAAACCATCACACCTTCTGGATCTTCTCCATCATCCCGTCAGGAGCCATCCTTAAGCCCAGAGGTTTAGGAGTTAGAAAGAAAAATGTCTGTGAGAAAGCAAAGAATGAGCCATGAAGGAATGAAGTCTTTACCCATTTTTTCCATGAACTTGTCATAGTTCTCACTCCGGTCTACCTTCCAAGTACCATCAAATGCCATGATCTCAGTTGAGTGAGCCTCAAGGTATTCAGCGTCCAGGTCTGTCGTTAGGAGAGAATTTATTCTATTTCTTATCTTAGAAACAACTTTGTACTGTGATATGGAAGTTTAAAGTTCAAGAGCTACCTAACTACTCTAATGCTTAACTCACTCTAATTTCTCTTTCCATAAATTCCTTAGATCTTCTGAAATTCAACTGAATTAAAACATGATAAGCATATTTATTTTGTCTTAAACTACAATTTGAGGGCATGTTTATTTCAAGAATTAGAATTCTTGCTGTCTGAAGATAGTTTTTGTGTTTATAAGTACAAAGGGCACACTATATTGGAAATAATATTATTTATAGTATGTATCAAATAACATCTGGGAAATGAGATTATTAATGACCAATCCCTTTTGTGCAACAGTAATTACCTTGTAAAGAGTTTATGATCAAATACATTTGAAAAGTTAAGGTTACTGAGAAAGAACGTGTATTTTCTAATAAGACCTTTTGCATTGTGTTTAGAGTTGCCAGGAGTTTGAATAAATATCCTGGCACCTTGTACAGGGCATGATACATTCACTGAGAGCATTAATATTCATTAGGTTTTTGTTTTGGTCTTGAATGTGAGAGGCCACTGAGCAAACCTTCAAGAGGTAGAAATGTGACCAGATAACATGAAAACTTTCATAAAGGAAAGAATCAGCTTTGAACAACTGCCATGTGCACAGAGAACAAAAGGCAGGTTTTAGCTATGCCATTAATTGAAACCATCCTTTTCTTTGGTTCTCACTCCCTGT